TAGCAATACTTCCCCCAAATAGTTTCCCAGTGTCTGACTAATTACATCTCAGGGACTTTCAGAGCCAAAGGTTGTCCTTATTAGCTCCCAATGCTTCTGTCTTCCACGAACTTGTCCAGTCCCCCTCCCATGACTTGTACAGTCATGTAAACTTTCTAGCATCTACAACATCCCACAGCAAGGATTTTAACAACTTAAAAGGAATGGTACTCTGTGCAGTGTGCACTCTTTTTGAGCCTGCCACCTGTTAGCTTTCTTTGATGACCCCTAGTTCCTGCACTGGAAGAAATGGTGAACAACCGATCCCAATCCATGCCATTCATGATTTCATAGATGTTGACCTTATCTACCACTTACCCCTCTGTAGCAATCTGGGCAGTGTTTCAATCTATATGCAATAGCAAGAAGAGTTGTTGTAATTGTGTGACGGAAGGGAGGATATTTATACAGAAATTTTCCTGACTTCAGAGATAAAACATGGAGACACAGCCAATAAGACTCTCATGCAATGCCCTGTTTTGACGGATGAGTCTTCTCACTCCACTTTAGTATGTGAGGGCTTCACGATAATACCGCAGGTTCCTCCAGGGTTACAACACATCTGCATACGGCCTGCATCTGCAGGTTGATTGAATGTTCTCCCTCACATCTCTCACCCTGCCTTGCAGACCTAAGCACCAGGAGATGGGCAAACGGCTGCTGGCCCACAGAGTTCCCCTTTGCCAGATAAACAGCGTGACACTGAAGTATCTCTCCAAGAATCAATTTTGGAGGAAGGATGAGTCATTCATTGTCGGCAAGTTCTGTGCAGCCCCGCTGCCTCTTGATAGCAAGTAAGTCACAAGGAATATCTTACAGGGATCCACTGAGCCTGTGGGTGTAGCCTGTGGTTTGAAACAATGCATTCTCTCTCCCATCCCCTCTGTGTCCCTACGTAAATCATTTTCTACCTGTCAGAGAGAAAAACTTCCAAGGTAGTTTTCTAGGAGTTTTCTATGATTCTTCCCCCAGGATAAAAGTGTTGTGCCATGGAAGGAAAATGGCTGCGACTCACATCACCTTGAAGATGCTTAAGTCACAAACCATGGCAAAAGCTTGTACTAACTAGAATTTGTTCCTTTTGTCCTTGCTTGCTCTCTCCATCTTCCCCCTGTCTACAATGGGCCCCCATTTGAAACATGACAGACGCGCATTTTTCAGGATGAGACAACAGAAGACCAGTAATACATTTCTGCTTCTTATACTGCACAGGTTTATAAAGCACTAAGGCTAAAGACTACCATGTCGGCATTTTCTGGGCCAGGTATTGTAGAGTATATGCCTTCAGCCATAATTACCTTATCCAGAACAGAAGCAGCCAAGTCCTTCTCATCCCAAGATAATGGTCTTCTCCATAATACAATATTCTTGCCAGGAGTTTTGCAGGTCCAAAGTTCTTGCAGGCAGGAAAAAATAGCTGTGTCTATACTGACACATTAAACTCTGTCCACATTGCTTCTGAGTTGACTTTTATGCTAGCTTCAGGCTGAAGCAAGATAGTGGGTACTCCAAAGCAGGGAAAACCAGAAGCAGAACGGAGTCTGGGCTCATATTCAAATTCTGTTCTGAAGGGTAGTAAGGAGACTCAAGCACAAGGCAGTAAAAATATATCTAGTAGGTGCAGATAGGGAAAAAAAGAGGCATTGCTATGTAAATACCAGGCACTCCCTTGAACATAAGGACTATTCCTTATTAGCATGCTTTGCAGAGCAAAGCACTCCAAAGTTGGGATGGATGTGCAGATACATGGCTTTTTATCATTTATGAATGGGACAGCATGGCACATTGCCTTAAAGGTGTGCTAACCTGCACCCCTGGAAGCACTGGACTTGGCTGTGGTTCAGGTAGAAAGCTGAGTTGCACAGGTTCACAGCTATGCTCTTATCACTAAACTGGGAGCACTCAGAGCAACAACGGTACTGCTAGGAGGAGGCGGTGGAAGGGTGAAGGACACAGCCCCATACACACCCCTCCAGCCAATTCCTCCCAGCCAGGGCACAGCACCCTGTTCATCATACCATTGCAAAGCAGCACAAGGTCCACCTGCAGCTTGTTTGCCTCTGTGTTAGGATAGCAACCTCCGCCTGTTAATGCACAGCCTGACTTCCCTGTGCTCTTCTCGCAGCAGGACAATGTCATGCCTGCCCTGGGACCTCACCCTCCCCGGCAACACAGACATCTCCTATGAGCTGCCCACTGCTTGTGCCTAGCACTGCCTTCGGAGCATGCACGCATACCCAAAACCGGAAAGGAGCCCTAAACCTATTGCTGCTCTTTGCTCACAGATGATACTTTCACCATAAAACTGGATGGATTTTTTACTTCCTGCATTAGGGACAGGATGTCAAGGAAAAGAAGTGTACGGCACATCGGCGAGTACAAGTATCAAGACCTCTTAGTCAGAAGACTGGCTCGGGACTTTTATCTTACGGATTCTGTACCCAGCTCTGAAAGTGAGACAGGCAAGTCATTCAATCTCAAGGTTCGGATCTGTATGAAAGAAGAAGATAATATCACTCTTCCTACAACAGGAGTATTGGGATGATTAATTTGTGTTTTATATTAAAGTGTCCTGAGAATTTCATATTAAAGATGAGAAGTATTATTTTTACTCATCAAGGGGAAACTGTGTGGTTCAGGTTTGGCACAGGAAGGAGTCATTCTTAGCCAGCGCTCCAATGGGAAACTCACTAGTCCGATCTACAAGTCACTTTCAGAGTGAGACCCTATTGATTTCATGTTAGTGCTCCTGCTAAATAATTGGAATGAATCTCCTTCCCGTGACAGGCCTGGAGCAGCTCTTCTGGCTGTTGGCTTGTTCTCTTTGAAGCTCACATGAAGTGAAACAGACACCAGGAGCACAGTAGTGCTCTTGCATCCAATTTTGCACTGCTTTGAACAACTGCCCAGAATAGAAGGTAATAGGAGGAGAATGGAGCATCGTAGCTACAGGGCCACCTAACACAAATTAGTCCCAGGAACTCAGCACAGCCTTTCAGACCTGGAAAAGTAGATGAGATTTGGCAAGAATTGGTGAAAGATTACAACATGAGAGACATGTACATAGAAGCAGCCCTCACCCATCCACACCTTTTCCACCATCTTGATGCATATGCAAATTAAAGAGGAGAAAATCTTACATCACTTCTGCCCACAGACCACATCTTCTGTAGACCATTTTCTCTGGTTCCCTAGACTGGCTTCACTGGGTGATAGAGAAGTGGGCCAGGAACACCATGCTCAGGAGAAAGGGGCATGTTAAAGGCACTTCTGCCATGAGGAAGCCTCAGTCATTTGGCATGAGCTGTCACTACTGCTCCACTAGACAGTGTCACTGTGGAGTTAGCTCCTGCTTTCAGCTCACGTCCAAACTTTTGGTCCCTGCCATGTGGCTGTTTGGAAGGCCAGGTAACAAACACCTTCTCCAACATACACTCAGGAGAGGGTTAGAGCTGGGCTCTGACAACCTGAGAGAGATCCACGTTAGTTGGTGCCGTGACCAAAGGGTTTCCAGGGAGCTTCTTGTTG